TCACAAAACACCAAGAGAAAATGGAGGAACTTGAGAGAGGTTTAGGAGACACCAAAATTGGCTAGCCACTTCTAGGAATACATGAGTGCCGATTTTGGAGCTAAGGGAATACATTTATAGTGTAGAATTCCAAGAGTCACTTCTTCACTCTAATTCATACACTTAGGCTTTTAATCCAACAACACTTTATGGACTCTTATATGAACTTAGTCCATTACTGGTTAATCATGGATCATTAGCCCAAATCATATGTTTCACTGATTTACATAATCAGCCCCTATTAATTTAATCAGTCTCTTTTGATCACTACATTAATTCCAAACTAATTCTTGATCAATACCAATTAAATAATATGATTTATCAAATAATATATTATTCATATAATATATTAATAAATCACAAATAACCTCTTTCTTAAATATCCATCCTATCAAATTGTTTTGGTGAATGCAACCCAAAATGGACCATGCTACTCTTGGGTCAAATACATACCAATTATAGTTATGGGTTTAGACACCTAATCCAACACAATAACATTAAGCACATATAAACTATACTTTCTACTCTTCTAGCTCTTATATCCTAACATATATAGATACAAACTGTAATAAATATTATAGTGAGATAACTCACCTCGACAATCACTCCAATGACTATCAGCTATCCAACTGGCGGGAAACGCGTCTAACAAGTGATAACCTATAGAACTATAACTTATTAATCTATATGGAAATCTAGTAACGAAAGCAAGTTTTTTCATTAATCCCAATGAATACTTCAAGTTCTATCAAATAAGGAATAACCAGGTAATATCATATCGGAGGTAGGATCCGTTTGGTATCCAGGGTATACTGTTTGGAAAATCCACTTCAAACACCTCATTAGATCTAGCATAGACATAACTCCCGTAAGTAGATCAATCAATATTTTCACTTGGAATCATTAATAAATCTTATTTATAGGTTTATAATAACAATTATGAATATAAATATAAGGTACACCTAAAGCATACTAAGTGCAGCTTAACTTATAGATTTTTTTGACAAAAGTTCGAAAAGTTCGCAGGCAGAGCTTTGACTTCGAAAGCTTCTTTTTGTTAGACTCTCTGATGCTTCAGAGTCTTGAAAAAGTAGCCAAAATCCTTAGAAGATTGGAATTAAAATAGGGGTAGCTCTCCATAGAAATTGGAGTGGAATTTGTAATGAAATGAGGCAAATTTGACATCTATTTATAGGCTGACAGGAGAGAAAAGCACGTGGCACTTCTGACATGGGTACCTCGTGCTTTTTTGTAGGCGGAAAGGACGAATCTGGTGCTGACACGTGTCAGATTCTGGCTGGTATTTCCGAGTACTACAACTTTCCTTTAGATCTCAACAGCTAATTCTCACTCTGTTTTAAACTCACAGTCTATGAAGATTAGATTGTAAAAGACCGTAAAATATGCATAACTTCTTCATACAAACTCCGTTCTCGACTGTCTCTAAATTGATGGATTCGTATTTACAAGATCTTCAACTCTCGTTTATGTTTTTTTGGCTAACACTCAACCGATTTTAATTTCGATTTCAGTGTCGCATACTGTTGTACTAACATTGAAAAAATCATAACTTGTTCATACGAAGTCATATTTAGGCGTTCTTTATATGCACGCTTTTGTAATTATGATTACTACAACTTTTGTTAAGAATACATTGGCTAAAAGGCAATGTATCAAGTACTTTGAATCGCATAATTACTCATTTATACTATAAAGTAAAAACGGGATGTTACAACACCTTTAGCTTGGAAGATGTCAGCTGGACGTTAAGGGAGAACTGAGGTTCCTAGGGTTTAGGGGAGATCCTACCAACTTATTTCAGAGGATTCAGGAGTGGCTACTATGATGGTTTCTAGTATGATTCCAACTGTATTATTTTATGCTTATGTATTGAGTTTTTCTTTTGAGATCTTCTTCACAATGATTGTTGTTTTCTGAATGGATTTTGATTTATACATTCTTAGGTTTTATGGTACACTACAATATTGGGGTTGAGTTGGATGTTTCAAAGGACCATTTAAGTCCATTTCTGATTTAATTCTTAGAATTAAGGTTGGTATTATCCCAGTTGGGTTGATTTGGATCTCTTGATGATGTTTCGACTGTGTTTTAATGATTTGTAAATTCCAAGTGAAGGAGAGTGGAGATTTCGCATTGGGAGAGTATTGTGCAGATCGATCTTCTACTGGATTACTCAAGTTGAGGGTTTTTGAATGGTTGCACGTCCTTCAGAGTCGTTCGTTGGTTATGTTATCTATATTGCTATAATTTACATCCGGGTAGCCTTAGTTGTAGGTTGCGGAGGTAATTCCTTAAATTGTAAGGTATTGGTATTGTATAGGTTTCTAGGATGTTAAGGAAGCTCAGGTGGAGGATTGTGATGGAGATCTCCTTGTCTGTTCTTGCTTGATTGGGGCCTGGTGGTTCAAGTGACAATTCAAAAGCCCGATAAGGACAGTTAAGTGTCATAAGTTTTGTTTATGCCTTATGTCGGTTTGACCTACTATGGTAAGTGGTTGATGGATTGGGGTGAGCCCATGAGTCATTAGTGGTTGGCGGATCGGGGTGAGCCTTAGAGTCATTAGTGATTGACGGATTGGATTGAGCCTGAGAGTCATTCGGGGTTGAAGGATCGAGGTAAGCTCGAGGATCTCTAGGCGTCGTTGGATCCTTAGTGTTCTTTCAAACCAGTTGATGGGTAAGTCGTGGAGGTGATTTTTGAAATTGGATGTATTAGTTGGATCTCGGATCGACAAGTCTCTAGTATTGATGAGTTTCTCTAGGACTTGGTTGGTACTGTGGTACTCTGAGATGGGTTGCTTCGGGTTGAGGAGAAATGTTGGGTTGTAGGAACCAAATATTTGCTTGGGTATGGTTATGTATGGACTTGAAGAAACATGTTGAGTGCGCAAGTGTGTTGCTAAAATGGATGTTCTTCATGATTTTCAGGGTTTAGTGATTCCTGAAACACTCCCACAAGTTTAAGGTGTTTCTAGAAACATTAAGTTCTGCGTTGTGGATCAAGGGTATTTAGAATAGACTTCGGGTGGTTAGTTTTGATGGAATAACATGTGGGTTTGGATTACCCTTTTTTTGGAATGGTATGCCTTGCGTTTGAGATGTCTTCCCAAGGCAGATTTCGAGGATGAAATTCAGTTTAAATGTAGGAGAATTGTAACATCCGTTTTCCAGGTATTATTCTTTTGGGTTTGTTATTTTAAGTCTTGAAGTTTTTGCGGTTTTGACTGACCGTGACGTGGTGATGGAGAACCACCACGGCGTGGCCACGCCATTTAAGTGGCCAAGCCGTGGTAAAGGGTTGGCCACAACATGGTGGCAATTGGGTTCACAATCCTAGGTCTTGGTTCTTGGGCCCTATTTAAGCAACCATATAATTAGGGTTTGCTCTAATTATCAACCCCCGTTCCCTAGAAAGAAACCCTAGAGTTTGTGATTGAAATTTTGGATTTCGGAAACAAAAAAAAAAAAAAAAAAAAAAAAAAAAAAAAAA